ATGCGGGAAGCACAGTTGAAAGGGAGTCGGAGCACACCTTGACAGGCCCGGAGACAGGATTCTGCGTTTTTTACATGCTGATAGCCCGAAATGCTGTATGTAGTATACTGGAATGGCTTCCTAAGATTAGAGCAGAAGTAGTTGCCCTGAGCAACATAGGCAGACTTATGGCATAAGCTTCAGCATGTAAAACCCAGAGATCTCTGAGTTAGGTGGCCAGGGAGCATCCCCAGAGCCTGCCCACCAGTCCCTGTTTCTGGGAACCCTGTCATCTTTCCAGGGGAAAGCAGCAGTGGGCTTCTGCTCTTTGAGCCCTTTTCTCATTCACCCTGGACCCTGCCTGGAACTTGCAGTGAGCCTTCTGTGAATTAAGATGCATTTAAGTGCGTATTGCTGGATGAGCTCCCACTTGACACAGTGTAATAATGATCTTGGAGGGAAACTCTCCCTGGGGACATTCAGTTTAGCTGTTTATTTGCTTGGTGTGGAGATGGGTGGGTCTGCTCACTTCACACTGACCCATCTGACTTTTGCTTCCTTGGATATTTCTGCTCTGGTACTTGTGAAACTTGAAGAAGGCTTGAACTTATTTTACTTTTCTTCACCTCTGGTTAATTTCCTTCTCTGCAGAAAGCCAGCTGGTGCTCTTTATGATAGTGCATGCCCCGGGGCCACCAACCAGGAGCAGTAGTCATTGTCATGATTGGTGGCCTGCCCTGGCTGAGTGTCCTGTTCAGGTCCCCCCCTCTCTCAAGGCAGTGTCACTGTCTGTGTCTGATCCAACCATAGCTGGGGGAGCAACCACACAGGGCTAACTAGAGGCAGAAACCTCCTGATGTATCAATATAAGACAAGCCCAGTGATTGATAAACGGTACTGAAGAACTGCTAAACCATAGGGATAGGATCTTAGAAGGGGAAGATAATGAAAACGGAGCTAAGGTTGAATAAAACATCCTTGCAGGGACCTAAAATGAGTGTCATCTTCATCTGCGAAGTGGAGATGGGCTCACTGGTCCACTTCGAGGTGTGTGGAAGATGTAAGAGTAGCAAGAGAAGCTCTTGGCAGGGCCCTTAGCACATCACATACTCGTGACAGGTTTTGTTTTCTTCATTTTATTACTTTTGTCTAGTAAAAATGACACGTAACAGGCCATTCAGTGATGAGTAACTGAAAAGCCCAGCACCCTGGCTGTGGCCCCGCCTTCACCTGGAAGCAGGGACAGTGACACCATGGGTGTCTGGCAGCAGGTGCCAGTGTCCAGGTGCTCAATGCACCTTAGTCCTGCTTGTGCCCTATCACGTACCCTTCATGCTCCCCTCGTAGTGGGAAGGACGTTTTGTGTTGGGTGGCCTCCCAGGCTCTGGAAACTTATCCTATACAGTTTGGGTCTTGGGACATGTTTTCTTTGGTATAAATTGTGACGGCTTTTCCGCCAAGGGGCTGAGGTGGGAGACAGGCAGTGGCAGAGACAGTCTGTGGTGTGGGCAGTGGAAAAGCTGGAGGGGCGAGTGCCTTTGTCATGGCTTAAGCACTGGTGACCCTACAAGAGTAATTAGGATGTGCTGAACTCCATTTCAGGGGGTGCTGGTTCCCAGGTGGATTTACTGAAGATTTGCAGTGTTTAATAATGCAGGCTGATCAGTAAGAGCCACTGGTCTGCACGGATAGCTGTAGGGGTGCTGTGTGTGAGCACACCCCTCCACCCTGACTAGTGAGCATACGCCCATCCAGCCTGGCTGGTGAGTGCACCCCCTTCTGCCCTGGCTGGTGAGTGTACCTCCTCTGCCTTGACTGGTGAGCGTACCCCTCCACACGCCCTCTCTGCCCTGACTGGCACTGTTGCTTTGTCCTTATGCCACAGTCATCCCCCATTCCAGTTGGTGAAACCACTCTGTGCTCATAAGAAATGGAAATGAAGAAATGAAAGCTCTAGGTTTAGCGGTTGTCCATGTCGTGCTTGAGTGGAGGACTTGGTGAAAAAACAGGTGGTGTGGCCTCCAGTGACTCCTCCATGCCCTGCTTTAGGAGCCCCACTTCCCTTTCCCTCCAGCTGTCTTGTACCCATGTCACACACTGCCTGACAGACACTTGGTCCTAACAGCTTCGGCAAATGGGGTGCGGGTGTTGGAAAGAGAAGATGATAAATGTCTCAAGTGTCATACCTTACTATGGTGAGATGCTCAAGTTAGGTGTCAGAACAGTGTGGAAATTTTTCTTAAAGCTAGTTTAATCATATTAGGGATTGTTTACACAACACTATTGTTTTCTAGACATAGGTATAGCAAAATATCAGTTCCAGAATGTGTTTAAACTTACTTACAAATTTGTGTTGTATATTCATTTAAAATAAAAATCAATATGACATCTAAATCCAAATTGAAAATTCGTATTTCTGTTAAACTACAAGAAGAATATATATCCACAGTACATCTGTGGGTGTATCCCTAGTTCTGTTTCTTGTAGGATCTGGACAAAACAAAACACAGTAACTTCTGCTTGGCACCTGTTGTCTGAGTGTCTTATCACTCACTCACTCTGGGCTCTTGCTCACCGTGCTGCCTCTCAGAGTGCTCGCTGCACAGGAATCACCTATGCGTCTGTCCCCGCCACACTGCATTTCAGATTGTTCTTTGAAGTAATGTTTCTCCTATCTGCCTGTAAGCATCTTGAGTGTAGGGCTATACCAAGACCATCTTTATTTTACTGGCATTCCACACTTCCCCAGCATTTTTTTCCCAGCTCAAGGTTGGAACCCAGAATTAAGGTTTTCTAGTTCTGCCATGGTCTGCATGTTTCCCTTTACATCTGGCAAGTGGCAAGTCATGCATAAAGGCCAGTAAAGACCCCAGTCCCCAGCACTGATGCGATGGCATGGTGCTGGGCTGTCCACCATTGCATTAAGTGCTCTGACTTCTTGGAACTCCTGAATACTAGGAGGTCAGGGCTTATGAGCTAAAAAACCAAAGCAATTATGTAGGTAGGCTTTGTCCATTTAACCTGTATTTTGTGTGTGTGTATGATTTTGAGACTTATATATTCCAGAATTTGAAACTGTGATTTTCATAAATTTTATTTATGACATCATTCTTACAGGCTAATGTAGATTTTTAAGTTTTTTTTCTCTTTACCATTTCTCATGTTTCTATTTCCACAAAAGGGGCTGGTGGCTGGACCCCACTTGTGTCAAATAAATACCAGTGGCTGCAGATTGACCTTGGAAAGAGAATGGAGGTCACAGCTGTGGCCACCCAGGGAGGATACGGGAGCTCCGACTGGGTGAGCAGCTACCTCCTGATGTTCAGTGATGGCGGGAGGAACTGGAAGCAGTACCAACGAGAGGAAAGCATCTGGGTATGTGCCTTTATTGAACAGCAGCCTGTCAGAGTGGCAGAGTATGAAGTGTGCCAGTTCCTGCATGCTGCTGCAAATCTGTCACATCAGGTATAGAAGTGGGGCCTCCCACAGTACTGAAAAGTGTTTTCAGGTGCATGTAAGACTCATGTGGTATTTTAAAATACACCTTCCGAGTATAATTTATGAAGTAAGTGAAAGTGAAACAACTTTATAAGGTAGTGAAATACTGGAAATGTCTTCCCATTATTCCTTTAAATAGTGCAAATTCTAAGGAATAAATCACACATGAATCTGCTTTATTTCTGATCAGTAACACAGAGGTTTGTACTGCCTCAATGTTGTTTAATAAAATGAATTCATTCTTGTGTCCTCTGATTGAGATTTCCAAAGGACCCTAAACAGTTAGAAATACATCTAATGGACAGTCTCCCCAGGAGGGTATGTCGAGGGCTGTGAGTCCTCCTCTGGCAGGGGCTCAGACATCTGTGGCACTTTTAATTCATAGGTGATAGATTGCTGGGATTCTTTAGAATCATAACTACTTTAAATTATTTTACCATCAGTGACATATTTTCTACTTCTGATTACATATCCATGCTTCTTTTTGAAGAATTGCATTTTGATTAACTTTCTGAATATGAAAATATATGAAACTTACTACATATTTTGCATTTCTTGACTTTAAATCATAGTCTGCTCTGAATGAGAAGCTCCAAAATTAGGGTGTTGTAAATACCTGGATAGTGTTTGCAGTTGGCTGATGGGGCAACAGGTGGAGGGGTGTGGCCTGAAGAAGACTGCCAGGTGGAGAAGGAGTACCTTTTTCCTTATTATTAAAAATATAGTTTAGGTGGTTGCCAGGGACTGGGGAGGAGAGGAATGGAAAGGTAATGTTTAGTGGGGACTGAGTTTCAGTTTGGAAAGATGAAAAAGTTCTGGAGATGGTTAGTGGTGGTGGTCAAATAATGATGTGAATGTTAATGCCACAGACCTGTGCCTCTAAATATGGCTAGAGTGGTAAATTTTGTTATGTATATTTTACCACAATATAAAAATACAGCTTAGTGTACATTTAATTTAGGCTAAAGATATAGTGTAACTTTAAAAATTTTTCTTAATTCTCATGTTAAGAGGACAAGTATCAGGTAAAAAGCCATCCTTAGCCTATGGCTTGTCTTTGAAGCTAACAGGCAATGACATGATAATATTTGTTGGGTAACAAATTGTTCTCATTTGAGTTTTCTTAGAGCTCTGTTCCTTATTAGAACTTACTAGATCATGGCCCATTTAATTTTTTTTATCTCTGGAGCACTTATTTGTTCATCAGTAAATGTTGATGTACTGAAATTTAATTAAGAATTAGTTGTTAGAATATTAGATAAAGAACAAAATAAAGGAGAATTTGTGGTTTTAGGGCTGGCTGACTTAAAAGTTCCTGTGATGTAATAAGTCATAAGAAATACATATGTGGTCATTCAGATGACCAGATAGGTATTTCCCAGGTATATCTGGTCTTCATCCACAGTTCCTGGAACAACTGCAGAGTCTTAAAGGTGAAACAGGTGTTTGTCATGTTAGTGAGAGACTTTTGGACCCCCCACCCAAGGGCAGGGGCTGGAGACTGAATCAGCCAATGGACAATAATTCAGTTAGTCGTGACTATGCAGTGAAGCCCTCACAAAACCCCTGAGAGCTTATTGCTCTGTGCTCTGCTGGGTTGCATCCTGTTGCCCAGTCGGGGAGAGCTTCCATGCGTGGGGAACCAGAATGCCTCCACATGCCACCAAGCCAGGCCCCAAGCTCCATGAGGATAGAAGCTCTTGTATTTGGGACCTTGCCCTGTGTCTCTCTCCAGCTGGCTGTTAACTTGTGTCCTTCATGGTCTCCTTTGTTAAGCTGGCATACGTGTGTTCCTGAGTTCCGAGGGCCGCTCTAGCTAATGAAACAAACCTAAGGGAGAGGTCATGGGAACCTCCCGTCTGTAGTCAGTAGGTCAGAAGCACAGGGAACTGCCCGGGGCTTGTGACCTGTGTCTGAAGTCAGGGGTGGAGGGCAGTCTTGTAGGATGGAGTCCTTAACCTGGGAATCTGGTGCCAGCTCTGGGCAGATAGCATCAGAATTGAGTTCTCTGATGCCCTGCTGGTGTTCGAGAATTGCTTGGTGTTAGTATGTGTGGGCAGACCCCGACCCATACTCTCACACATGGAAATCGGGTCCGGGACCCCAAAAGGAGTTATATTATTACTGGTATGTATAATATTGTATGTGTATTTAGGGGAAAAAATACACCCTTGCATTTGGTGTCAGAGGCCTGGGATTCACAGTTCCTAAACAAGCAGTCGCTGTGTGATCAGAGGTAGATATTAATGTTGAGCTAATTCTAAATACACCAAGTCCAAACGAGGGTTAAAATACAATATCACTTAAGAATGAATAAGAATTAACGCTTAATGAAGCATCTACTTACAGAGAACTTTTGTTTGAAATTAAGTAGTTTTACAAAGTTAGATAAATAATAGTTAATCATGCTTATTCTTGGTTGTGTTAATAATGAAGGTTCATATTTTTGCCACCACCACACCCCGGTGTTTGAGAGACTGAAATTTCTTGCTTTTCTGTTAAGCAGCTTGGAGGGCAAGTATATCTGAGCAGCATCTTCTGCCAGTTTCAGGTCAGCCCTGGGCGGGTCAGGTGAAGAATGGTGGTATCATTAATCCTGGGCCATGCAGGTGAGGACAGGTGTGGACCCCTCACACAGTGAAGGCGGACATGGTCTCCTGCCTGCCACTCTGGGGAACGCACTTAGGTAGAGACCCCACCATCCCTCCCTGATTCCCTGGTACTTCACGGTGTCTAGGAAGTGTTTGCTGAATTAATGAATGCGTGGATCCCACCTTCTGCCAGTGGACTCCACCTCCTGGCTGGGTGCCTTTCTTGAGCTCCCTGCTCTGCCCATCCCTGTAGCTGCTCCTCTCAGCTCAGTGGGCCTTGACGTTCCAGTGTAGGTATTTCTCTTCTACATTTTGAGCTCCATTAGGGAAGGGGCTCATGCTCGCATCTGTGCATCCATCATTATGGTGTAATGAATTAATCTGCTCTCGACCTGACTCCATACACAACTGACCGAAGTAAATCTCACTAGTCAATAACTGTACTTTTTTTCCTGGAGGCTCTGGGGAAGACTTTCTCCAAGGTGTCTGGAGACCCCTGGGTCCCTCCCCAGGTTCCATGATTCCCTGGGCAGCCTCAGAGCACCAGCATGTAGTCATCTCATGGCTGTGATTTATTACAGCAAAGGGATACAGAGCAAAATGAGTAGCCAAGTAAGGCATGTGGGGTCAGGCCAAGGACTTGAGTCTCCTGCCAAGGCCTGTGAGGCCCGGTGACCGCTTGGTCCCTGCTCCCCACGGAGATCCTCCCTGTGGGTGTCTTTTCTTCATTTTCCTTCAGCTTCACTCTTCTTGGTATCTCTCTCTCTCCCTTTCCTCTTCTGTTCTCTCTCTATCTGATGATACTTTCCTGCTTTCGTCTGTCGATAAACATTTTTCTCCTCACCTCTCTCCTTTCTCTGTTTTTTCCCCATTTCCCCTTTTTATCTGTGGTGTCAGAAATCATAGAAAATCAACTCAAAGTAATCTAGGTGATCTGAGCACCCGACCACATTGTGAGAAGGGGGATTTAGGTGGGTCTCTGGCATGGCTGTGCCTGAGAGGCAGCCTGGCCCCCACCTTCTGTGGGTTGACTTCTGGCAATTATTTCCCTGTACTGGTTCAAAAATCTGGGAAAGCACCCTGACTCACCTGGCTCGGGTGGCGGGGCTGTGGCCAATCTGTGTCCTGTGGTTAAAGGAAGAGGCCCTCTGCCCTGCTCTGAGCCTCAGCGCCTTGGGCTGGTGGGTGGGGCTGGCTGGCACCTAGAAGGTGGGGAGCACCAGGGGCCAGAGTGTCCAGTTTCCCGTTCTTTGCCTCACTCTTGCTCCATGATCCTTGGCCGCCTTCTGTTTCTCTGCTTTCCTCTCCTTGTACATCTTATCCTTCTACTTGTCTCCTCTCCTTTTTCTCTATAAAAGAAAGGCCTCGATTCACATGGGCCTTGCTACTCAATGCGGCCCACAGAC